CCCTGGCAAGCCTCTTTAGCCAATTTCTGTCGTTCCAATGACAGTACTCTATTGACTATCAGGAGAGTGTCATCTGCGGCACAGTTCCCCAATTTTAACGTTGAACTTTACTTTACGTGAGCGTGCAAAGGTCGCTTTGCTTCCTTCCAAAAGTTATCTTAAATATGGTGACTATATTACTTGACAGCCAGTTTTTGTGCTTACATTGACAGCATTATTTGTTTATTTCATTCATACTTCCGCAGTTTCCTGATAATTTGTAAAACGGGCTTAAAAGGATTTTATTCTCACAACTACATACAGAAAAGATGAAAGAATAAAAAAAATTAAGAGAGGTGTTTAGTTGTTTTCAACTTTAGGAAAAGTTAGGTTGTAAACAAAAGTTGCGCAGCTAGCAACAATGTTGTTCGATGGAGTGAATGAGGTTTACAATGAGCACTGCACCTGATCGTCTGTTTCACAATGATTTTATTATAAGGATTAAAATCTGCTTAATGATAACCCGATGACGTTGCGAGTTGTGTCATATACTGATCTAGTGGATCGAGAAAAAGCGGAAAATTGTCACATATTATCAGTCACTGTTTCGCATACTGTAACTGATAACTTAGAAGCATTAATTCTTTTCTTTTGTAGTTCTCTGAAACCGGAAGTGATATTCGAAAGTGCTACGAAGATCTGTTAAGTGAACATGGTGCCAACAACGTAGATGTTTGGGTTAAGTGTATCAGGTTCGAAAGCGAGCACGCTGAAGGTGATTTGTCCCGCGTACCACTCATTCACAAACGGGCGCTGAAGTATTTGAACCCTCATCTGGTTCAAGACTTTGTCCAAAAGATTACCCTCTACGGGGTCGGAAAGTTGGACGTTGTTAAATAAATGTTTATGCATTTCACCACGTTTCAGTTTTGTGAGTCGATCATCTTTTGATGGTCTCGCGGTACAGTCGACAGCCATGTACTTTATCGCAATCTGCTGATGACCACCACCTTTGTACCTTTCACTTTCTGAGAATTTTTTCCTCAGGTTCTGTGGCTTAGTGTAAACTGATTAAAGTTTTTGTCTTAAAAAATGTGGTAGTACAGAAAAAATTTCATCACTAATTTATCGATAATGCTTATCAGACACTTTGAATATGGGTGCAACGTTTTCGTTGTTGATGACCAGTTCAGTTGTGATGGGGCTTAATTGATTTTACGTTCGCTGTTTCTCTACTACAGTATGGAAATACTCTTGAATCAAAATAAAATCTTGAACATCAGTCGATTTCAAACGCATTCGTTGACTAACTACGTCGCTCCTGAGAGTTTTTGAATACAGCTTCCATTGCTGCTCTGTAAGTTTTTGTACTACTGGTCGAAGTGTTCAGAAGTTGTCAACAGAAATTCGCCATGAACGAAAATTGAAAACTAGCGTAGCATCGTCTAAAGTTGCGGTGATCATGTCTCCAACGAGATCTCAGTTATTGGAGCTAAATGAGATTTACATACTTCATATAAGAAAACTAGTAGTCATTAAATGAAAGAACACGTAGTTATGTCTTTCTTGAAAGTGCTAGTGATAATCTCTGGTCACTTCTCTGAATTCATATAGGATATTCACTCTGTTCTTTCGCCTACAGTGGCTTAGCGAACTATTTAAGCAGGCCAAGGTCGTAACATTTTAGACCTGCAGAGAAGGAGTGCAGAACAGAGCCATTTGGGGCAGTTGCGTAGAATGAAAAACATGTTCGAATGCAAACGCATATGTGTTGAAAGCAACGTACTTTCATTCATCGTTTTTATTCGACGGTCACGGTTGCATGACGAGACTTCTGATGCCGTGTCCGCATTCAGAAATACTGTTCGTCCAGTGCTGATTGGATTCTGTAAGCGCTGATGGCAGGTCAGTTTGCATAAACCACTATTCTTCGATCCGGAATCGCACTCTTTTAGTCAATATGAATCATTCATGACAATCGACAAACACTTCAACAGATTTGAACAGCGATACCTACGGTTCGGTTACTTCTTTCATGTGCCTATTTCAATTTACCTTTACTGTTTGCGTCTAATATGTCTTGAAAGATGGCGGATATGCTAATATAGTTACGTGATAATCTGCTTGTTTGCTATTTATGAGCAACAGTTTAGGTTTTGTGAAATGTCGCCCTGTCTAAGGCGTAGAACGTCTTCTCATGGATACTCACGAAACAAAAGGCCACATTTCACTTCGAGGAATAAACAGTAGTAGGAGAGGCACCATTCTTATGGACGTATTCAGAGGCGCCTTCGCCATTCCAGCCATTATCTTCACTATCGTGTGGAATTGAACCTGTTTATTCAAGGAAAACTATGAATCTTCCAACTTTGGAATGAAAGTCTAAACTTGACTGTCACTTTACTTTCCCTCCTAGCATTAAAACGTTGCCTTCAGAATGAAGAATGGAAACATCTGAACAATACTGATGGATGATATGAGGAAATAAAAGGAAAATTGTGGCTAAAACAATCACAATGACTAGGGAAACGGTGTTTAACAAAATTGCTCAAATTTTCTCTTTACACCTTCCCTCTTGAAGAAAAATATTCGTTTATATTCGTTGCTATTTTAATATCAATAGGCATGACCTTTTATTGGCTTTAGACGCAAGGAATAGACAGACTATAAAGTCTTTCCTTGACAACAACAAATAGACAACACTGTTTGCCGTGAGGGTTGCAGACGTAGTTCGTTTAAAATGGTTTCCGGAAAGTTTACCGGCCGGTAAAATTGCTTCGTCGAAAATTCTGCGACCCGCAATTCGTCGAAGGGAGAATTTACCGATTCAACAATTGATCGCCGATGATTTATTTATTAGAATTTATTATTACGATGTAAAAATATAGGTATCTACTAAAAATTAATGTAGTGTTATACAGAAACAGCATATTTGAAAAATTAGGTTAATGAGCAGAATAATTACGCAATTATGTTAATTTTCATTTTTAAGCAAACACTCAATGAGCCGGTGCATCCGTTATCCCATCGAACGGACATCTATAACAGCTCGTCGGAATCGTGATATTACCTACTCAAAGGCATATTTTTACAACAAATGCATTTATTCAGAAATAGCATATTTGAAAGATTATGTTATTGAGCACTGTAATTATAATGCTTCACTCCTGCATAAAGCCTCAGAAAATTCAGAGATCAGTTTCAAAAAGTTCTTCGAGTGTGATATTTCAGTTACGAATTCTCGT